CATCAACCAATTCGCAAGTCAAAATTTTTTCGAATGCCTTCAACTCTTGTACCATTGCTTCTTGCCATTATGGATATTTTATTGCTTTATCAAAACAAGTTCTATCGGATGCATATAAAAAAAATTCACATGCTCCATAAATCTCTCTTAATGATTTGAATTTTGTTTTGCATTTTCACTGTTGTTGTTGCTTTAAGATGGGCTGCTTTCTTCCGAATATAATAAGTTTGAGCTGCCACTATTTATGCTATGAGGTGATGCTGCTGTTGAAATTGTAGAAGTTAAACCATCCATTTGTGTGATTGTTTGTGGGGTTGAACTTTCGTAAAAATTTATAGGAATCAGCTTCAAGACACGTTCTTTTTCGGCATTCTATTTTATCACAGCTTCTTCGTTAAATATATCATCTCTGCTAATGATCACCTTGCCACTTTTGGGTTTATACAGGTCATATGCTTTATATTAATGGTAATAACCGATGAAAATGAATTTTTCATAAAGCTTCAATCTATATACTATACAACCAAAAATTGTAACGGCTTACCCAAGGTGTTCTACTATTTCAAGCTTCAAATGGTGTTTGATTCAAAACAACCTTTGTAGGGAAAATATTCAACATTATTACAGACGTCGCAACTGCTTCGCCCCAAGAAAAAAGTCTTAAAGTCTTTGTTTGTTAAAAAAACTGTTGGGAAAGTGATTTATCGAACAAACACATTCGAACACTTTAAAGGCCCAATTCCCTAAGCATAGACGGTTCACATTTATAACAACATTTTAACAACGAATAACAATGCAGAACATAAAACAACAATGAGACAAGGTGTTTGTTGACCCGGTTCGATTATCAACCAATCTACATCCTTGGGATATCAATCCAAGAGATATTTCACTAATCAGTGTTGATTAAGGACAAAAACAATCACAACTCCTTCAACCCAAAAAGCTATCATGGTTAACCTAGGAAAATACCTCCACAGGTTCATGTTGTCACAAACGCGTACTGACAACGACCATACAGCAGAGCAGCTCAAAGTTTGATCATCCTCTCCGGTTGGAACTTCATTATCTCCAATCTTCATCGACCTCTCCGGTAGGTTTCAGTGTTAAACAACAGTTCAAAACATAGAGAAAATTGGGAGAAGGGTGAGAGCACACACAATAATTTCTCTCTCTAAATTTTGACTCTCAAACCTCACTCGCCACCAAACTTTTTCTCATTTGGTTGTATATATACCATGCAACCTTGGAAAGAACACACCTCACATTAATTTCCTTTAGCATAGAAATGGATAGAGTGTTCTCCAATGATCCTGCACGAGTCTGACCATCCCCAAACTATCATGTTTGACTCTTGTAGGCATTTAATAGATTGGACACAATGACTAAAATCAAGCCCACAAATGCAAAATGCAACATGGTTGCAGTGACAGTCTTACTGCAACATCAGACTACTTGAAAAGGAAAACTTGCTGCAGGGAAATGAAAAACATATTTGTCCATATGCCAAAAATAACAAAGGGTTTTTTCATTTACAAAAACTCCTTGACATCTCCACCATTGTTTGATTTTTCCATTCAACAGTACCATTTCATTCCAGCATATAAGATGTTGTAAGTTCTCTGTGAATCCCATTATTTTTACAAAAAATATTGAATTCATTGGATACAAATTCTCTACCTCTGTCAGGAAAAGCGTTTTGATATTATTTCCACATTGCTTATCTACCAATGTCTTGGAACCTTTTAAAATTGTCAAAATTTTCAGATTCGAGTTTAAGTAAATAAACTCAGGTGGAATGATTGCGATTATCTATAATAAAAATATATATATATTGACTTCCACCAATTGATTCTATTTTCATTGGCCCACACAGATTGGCTTGCATGAGTTCAAGGTTGTTCTATGCTCACCAAGACTTATCAATATGAATTGAAACCCTTGATTGTTTCCCATTCACATAACCTTCACAAAGAAATTTTATTTTAGAGATTTTTGGAAAGCCAATCATCATTTCATTTTGGCTTAAAAGCTTCGATCCATTTATGTTCAAGTGACTATAACATAAATGCCAAATATTAGATCCTATATTATTCCTTGCAACCACTTGTCTATTAATTTTGACATATCCAATGAAAGCATTTTGTTTTGTATCATAGGTACTGTTGCAATTATTCCATTGAACTCCTTGTCGCCATAAATAGGCGTTGTATTGTCAAACACAATATAATACCCACTTGAGATCAATTGTCAAACACTTAGCATATTATGGGCTAAGGTTGAGACAAATTGCACATTGTGGAGATTTCTAACATCACTTTGTATTGTGTTGATGACAAATGTATCTCTCATTTTAACGTGCATTTCTTTTACGTCTCCAAGTCTAACAGCTCCCTTTTGTGTTTTATCAAGTTCTTTGAATAGAGATTTGACACTCGGCATGTATTTCGAGTATCCACTATCCAGAAACCAAATATCTTCAAATATCTCCAAGAATCCAGTCCAACACAGTTGCACGAAATACATTCATATCCGATATTATTTCATTCCCACGTTGGTGGAAGATGTGGTATGTGATTTGCATTATATTCAGATGACCATGCAGCAGACTGACATTTTAACTAAAGCTCTTGATTCAAACCAATTTGAAATATTACAAAAGAAATTTGGGTATGTGTACCCATCACTGAAAGGTCCATATCATGCATTAAATTAATTCGATGAACATAGTATGCATGGGATTTACTAGTTGATTTTTCAAGAGAAGTATGGAAAGAAAAAATAAAAAAAAAAGGGGAAAATAAATCATGGTGTTTTTGGATAAGATGTAATTGTATCATTATGTGCAACCAAGTTACACATGATAAATCTCTCAAGGGTGATAAAACCCCTCGTATTCATTGTTCATCTTCATCTTTCATTCCTTGTGTAAAAATATGGTGAGAACCAGGCAAGCTTTTTAACCTATTACCACGGTCGTGGAGGAAGAAGAAGCCAAGGTGGTGGCCGGAAAAAATGCTGACATGAGGATGCACCAATTAGCGTGGTTCATCACGAGGTTGTACTAGACCATAATCCACCTAAAACTACTTTTCCCAATCTACTTTTATGCGATTCTCTCCTAGTTTCCCGGATCACTCTGAGCCGGATTTTGGTCGAAAAATCTATTTATAACAAATTCTCACAATCTTGAGATAGTTTTCATCTTCAAAATCCATAGATGGTACTCCCTCCGTTCCCCCAATATCCTACAATATTTTATTTTGAGTATGTTCCAAATATCTTACAATATTCTTAAAATAAAAAATTATTAAATATATTCAATCTTTACCCTGTATTTTATCTCATTACATTACTCAAATAAATATACATTTTTCTCTCTTATCATTATTTATTTTTCAAATTATCAAATTTTAATAGTAACAACTTAAATTCTCGTTGCGGAAACAAATGTTGACCCTGTTTAAGACGACGGGGGTACTTTTCTATTTTTAAATATTGAAATTAATGGCCGAATGGAAGAACTTTCGTTGGATATTTTAGTGTTGTGGAGAAGAATGTACCAAAAAAAAAAAAAAAAAAAAAACGAGTTTTTATTTATTTTTAATATATTATACTATGTGATACATTGATCTCTTCTTAAATATTTAAAAATTTAACTCCTATATAACTATCAATAGAGACAATGATTCATAATATTCAAAATTCAAATTTTAATTTAATTAAAATAAATTCAAACTAGAGACAAGTAATTAACAAAACTAAAACACCTCCACAGACATTAAACTTGTAAAGCAAACTGTCAGTCCAAAAACTAAACATTTATACAAATATGGTAAAAAATTTCTTGTAGAAATTCTTTAACATTTTGTTTCCATATAATTAGAGCTTAGTTTATCGTTTCCATTTGAATAAAAATAAACAAATTGACACGAGAAACATAGGGTAAAGACTGAAATTTATTAATATTGATAGAGCTCATAACTCTCTGCTTAAATCTTTGAACTAATCATAAAATTTCCTTCGGCAGCATTCGTATTGTTTCCAATGTCAATTATTAATTCAGGCCATGAGAACTATTGCTCCTAGTCAATTTTTACTTCGATCCATCGGTTGTCCGTAGTTAGTAGTCTATTAGGGTGTGTTTGGAACAGAGAAATTTAGTTAAAAAAATGAAAATAGTCTCATTTATCTTGTTTGTTTGAATCAGATAAATGAAACTTAAAAAATAAATCATTTCTATTTTTCTGTTTTCATTTCTTTCTCGTATGGAGAGAAATAGAGAGAAATGATGTTGCAATATATTTTTTTGAATTTTTTTTTTTACTATTTAATTTTTATAATTTTTATAATTTTTAAAATTTATACTATTTCAATCTTACAAAAATCAAATTTAATTTATTGTTAAAGTATATAATTTTTACGATTTTTTAAAAAATTGTATTAAAATATAATTTTAAAAAACATCGTATATAATTTATAATTTTTTTTAAAAATTCAAATATTTTTCATGAATTCTCATTAGTTAAAACTCTTTTTTTTTATCCGATTAATAATTTATTTTTGTTTGATCCATTCGTAGCTACATTTTTTTTACATTTCTCAACTGAATTTTTTATTTTACCAAATAGGATAATTAATTCTCATTCTCTACTCAATTCTATTTCTCTTCGATTTCATTCTCTACTCTCATTTTTCTCTGTACCAAACATCCTCTTAGTTTTTAGTTTTATTTCATCCCCTAAGTGCAATTTAGTTGTAGTTAGGATGATTGTTGTAATAGCGTCCAAGTATGTGCATATATATATATATATATATATGTTTGTTAAAAATCATTTACACAATTATTGAACTGTTATTATCATTAAAAAAAAGTAATAAATATTGTTGGTTCCAAACTCACTCAAACAGATTCAATCATAGTCAGAGTAGTTTGTGAAATGATCAAACAACACATCAACACTAAAAGCAATAAGAAAATGAAACACACAAATTGTTAACCTAATTCGATTATGAACGACCTACATCTGGAGTACCAACCTAGGCACACATCAACCCCTCAAAAATCAAATCAAGCTTACAAAAATTGCTAATAACAGAGTTTGGCCCTCAAAAATCCGTCTATTATCCTCCTAATATTTCCTAGCTTTCTTTGTATCTATTGAGTACCATGCAACTCTCATCCACTTTATTATACAAACATTTACTATCATGATCAATGAAAAAAAAAAAAAAAAACTATTTACATTTGAATAAACAAAAATGGAATTTTAACGAAACACGACCAAGTAAAAATGACATAATCCTAATTTTCCCCCAATCGATCATGTGACGTAGATGCATCAATTAAGTTAGACGAAAGCACCATTACCTACAAAATTTTGTAGAAATAAGGTCAACACGATGGTTGAGTAAGCACAAATAATTAAAGATAAATTAATACGATATATGTCATAATTTACATGTAAATACCACAAAACTATTTGAATAATATAATTGGAATAAAATGTCACATATCACATAAAGGCAACTCACAAACACAAGTTTTTTAGCGTTTCTTTTATGTCTCCTTTTTATTCTCAAATAATGATGATGAATATATCATGAAGAAAATTCCACTAAGTCTTAATTAGGGTTGGCTTGACCCGGTTTACCAACTTTATTACTTCACATGACACGTCACATAATTACACATAACAAACATATGGTCACGACCCTCAAGAAAATCTCCACAATATAAGAGTTCGAAAACCAAAGTACACACAAGTTAATTTATTTATTAGTTTGCGATGGACGCCAAACGGCCAAACTCTATAGTTTCCAATATAACATACCAAGAGGGGATTGTACACAATCCATCCCTCAATCACAGATGACGGTCTAAAGACCATTCCATCGTGAATGACAGACACCTAGGATTCACCTAAAAAATGAATCCACACTCACGTGTTAACTAGTTCGAGGTTAACTAGTTATCCTAAAATACCAATATACTCTCATGTGTTTACAAGACACAGAGATGGAAGACTATGTCTTATCATCCCAAACAATCGACGAATTGATCGAACTTGCAAGTAGTTTCAATTACCAATTTGGCTCAATTCTTAACATGCTATTAGACAAATCTTAAAAGAGCTTTCAACTCAAAACATTCTAATTGACAACATTTAACCTACCAATCGATAAAAACATCGGTCAAATAAACATGTTTTGTAACATAAGGTGAAAGTTAAATGAGCGCTTTCAAATTTGCTCATAAAACATTATTTCTCTAAAACAACATTCTCATTTAATAATCAAACAAGAAGTAAAGTATTCAAAATCCAACGAGTTTATTAAAAGCTCATTGTATTTTGCCAAATAAATATTTAAACAATATCCAAATAGACATAACCTAACTCCAAAAATCATAATATTTAAAATTATCACACATCCTTGCCCCAAAATTCATAAACTAGTAATCTTCACACAAGTCCTAAAAAACATTATAACCAACTTTCTAAAAAAAAAAAAAAAATAGCAAAACATAACACTTTTAGAACAAATCCATTTGGAAATTATCAAAAGGAATCAACAAATGGGTTTAGAAATTATAACATAACATTTATCTAAAATTAATCTCACTTAACTTAAAAGAATAGACCAAATGGAGGAACTTTGGTGGACGAACTTTCCAATGAAGAAGAACCAGACGGCAGCTGTACTGGGACAGAAACACGCTACTGTTGCACCTACCTGTTCTCGGCTTACTCTATTCTTTTGATTTCTAAAATAATATACATAGGCTTATACCTATTTTTTATTTCTTTTGGGCCCAATGTTTCGCCCAAATATCCAAATACTTTTAATTTCATACAATTATATTCTTTTTTACATCAAAGTTCAAAACAAATTAAGCCTCAAAATAAAATTTGTCTGACTCCGGCTCGGATTCCAGAAAGTTCCGACGCATTTCTGGAAATTTATTTTACAAGAAATTGCATCATCCCCCCTTAGGACATTTCGTTCTCGAAATCAATCTGCACGTCTGGTCAAGGTCGAATCGATCCAATGGCTAAGATCATCTCTCAACCACCATCTACCAACGACCTACCAACCCCCCCCCCCCCTCACCTACCATCTTCCACCAATCATCTACCAACCCCCAATTACCATCTTCTACCAACCATCTACCAACCCCCAACTACTTCATAAAAGTTCTAATTTTATCCACAAGGTTCTGGACTAGCCTCCGGGTTTTGACTCTTTCTCTCGGTCATCTCCGGTCACGGATTCGGTCTGTGACATTCTCCCCCACTTGATAAAGGCATTGTCCTCAATGCCTCGGACTCATGCACCAAGTCCTCGAATTTCCAAAGTTTCTCCGCCGGTTCCCAACTCGTCTCGTCCACGGGCAAGCCTCGTCATTTCACCAAGTACTCGGTTGGCGGCGGACAATTCTCGTAGTGCACTGGCTGACCCGTCAATATCTCTTTGGCTACTTTGTCGAATATCAACCACTACCTACCATCTTCCACCAACCATCTACCAACCCCCAATTATCATCTTTTACCAATCATCTACCAACCCTTAATTACATCATACAAGTTCTAGTTTTATCCACAAGGTTCCGGACTAACCTCCGGGTTTTGACTCCTTCTCTCGATCATCTCCGGTCACGGATTTGGTCTGTGACATTCTCCCTCACTTGATAAAGGCATTGTCCTCAATGCCTTGAACTCATGCACCAAGTTTTTGAATCTCCAAAGTTTCTCCGCCGGTTCCCAACTCGTCTCATCCACGGGCAAGCCTCGCCATCTCACCAAGTACTCTGTTGACGGCGGACAATTTTCGTAGTGCACTGGCCGATCCGCCAATATCTCCTTGGCTACTTTGTCGAATATCGTCCGCATCCTGGGTGGTGCTCTTGTCGATATACTCCGACCTGGGTCCCGATCATTCATATAGTAAAGCTCGAGATTACTATCATAGAACACCGGGTGAAGTTGGGACAAGCCCTCAGGTAGCTCCACCTTGTACGTCACCTCGCCTACTTTCTTCACGATCAATAACAGGCATTTGTATTGTCTCATTGACCCCTTGTGTACTCCTTGTATACACCCATGTTGGTAGAATTTTACCAACGGTAAGTCTCTCTCTTCAAAATTTTGAAACACCCGCTTCTGGTCCGCCCACTTCCGTCTTTGGTATTTCTCCTAATATAGTTATGTCACCTTCATCCGATCCTGCCAACCCTTGGCAAAGTGGAACACCGGTGAACTCGGTCCTTTGTACGCCCTCACCAAATTCTTCGGAGTCTTTGGATGGAAACCGAGCACAATCTAGAACGGGCTCTTCCCGGTACTCTCGTTTTTCTCCGTAGGCGACTTGGGCGCCTCCCATTCCACGCTCGCCTTGCTCTTTCCTGACTCTATTCGAATTCTTCTATTGTCCACAATACGCCCCAAGATTCTGACCTCGTCTATTCCGAACTCTCTCCAGACATATAGTTGATTCTCTCGCAACACACTTCGTAAGTGTCCGACATGGTTTGCCATACTCCGACTCGTGCCGAATCGTCAACTTGTTCCGCACTTTGTAGTTATTGCACATGAGGAGACTCTCATCCTTCCTCCTTTGAAAGAGCACCGGTGCACCTAAAGTGCTCTTCGACGGGATAATGAACTTTGTTTCCAAAGATTCCCCAATTGCGACATCCGGTATAGTGCTCGAGAAACCGGCTTTGCACTCTCCACCAAGTCGATGGCGGGGTCAAACGCTTGTCAATGTGGTAACTCTTTCGGTAACTCGTTTGGAATCACATTCTTAAATTCCTTGAGGACGTCCTCCAACTCTTTAGGTGGCGCGACGGCCTCCTTTACCTTTGGGAGATCCTCGTTGCTAAAGATAGCCACAAATGTCAGATCATCTTTCTTCAACCCTCTTTCGAGTTGCTTTGGCGTCAACTCCTTCTCCCAGTATACGGTGATGTCGCACGGCATGTTTCCTTCCATGATAGTGTATTTGTCCTAGTGCAGTATCATTACTAAGTTGGTTTGCTCGATGAATCTCATGTCAAGGAACACCAAATAATCGTCAATCGGGGCAACATTGAAATTAACCGTACATTTTCAATCTCCGACTTTGATTGGCACATCCTTTACCACTCTCGTCAAAGGCGTCCGTCCATGCACTACTTACTCCCTTGAATCGGCCATCTGACGACACCCATTGCAAACCCAACTTATGAGTTATTTCTTTGCTCATGTAATTTGTATTCGCCCCTGGTTGAGTAAACACAAGTACGACCGTCCATTGATCTCGACATTCATGTACATCCGTCCTCGATGTTTTTCGCCATCACCCTCCGTTTTCATGCACGCCACTCATTTTTCCGTCTGGTTAGTGTCCTCGGTCACCGCAGCAACACTCAACCGATTCGGACAACCCCTTGCAAAATGTTCTTTTGATTGACAAATAAAGCAACCCCCATACCTTGGTCCCAGTTTGGAAAAATCTCTCACTGCAGCCCTGGGTACTTGAAGTTCACTTTCGAGTCGGGGAGGTCATGGGATGAATCTCGGCGCATCTCCCCCACTTATGTCCGAGATCATTCTCCACCCGTCGTCTCTCTTGTTTGGTTCCCTCCGTTGGAACTCAATCAATCGTAAAGCATATTTCATTGTTTCATTCACAGTTTTCGTGCACTTATCGACGACCCGCTCCTTGGCCCATGGCCTCAATCCTTCTGTAAACCCGAATAATGCTTCTTCTCCGGTCATCAATGGGATTTCTAATAGTAACTTAGCATATTCATCAAGGTATTCTTTCAAATGTCCTTCCCGGTGTGTCAACCAACGGATCTTGACCCTTGCCTCGGTTTCGGCCCTCATCGGTTCAAACTCCACCTTGAGTTCGGACTTGAACATTGCGCACGTCGTGATGGCCTCACCATCTTAGGCAAGTTCGCTCCTACGCCTCCACCAAATGAGCATCGATTCTTTTAAAAATAATGATGCCATGTGTACTTTGGCGGCATCCCCCACGACACCTATATTGTTAAAGTAACATTCCACATCAAAAATAGATATATCAATTACCCGGCCTTTCCGAACTCCCAAGTAGTACTCCGGGCGTGGCACCTCCACCCTAGGTGCCACCACTATCCTCCAATCGGACCACGAGCTTGCAATTCCGCAATTTCCGCTCTAAGTGTTGCAAGCTCCTCTTGCATCACGGACGTTTCTACAACAATCGTCTTCTCCCGTTGGGCCAACTCGAGACGGCACGCTGCCATCTTCTCTTTGAGTTTGACCATCTCAGCATAAAGTGACCTCGTAACTTTCTCCACCCCATTTTGGCATTGGTCTACTCCTTCCGCGAGAGACTTCACCAATTCTTCATGCAACTCGTTCTTGACCTCTTCGAGACGTTGAATGACCTCGTCGATCTTTTCGGAATTTCTGCCCAAGAATTGTTCCACTCGTTCAATCCTTGACTCCAATGCAATTACGACATCAATGGAGACACCACGCTTGTTCCTCCGGTTGTGCTTTCCTTCATTGCCACCCTCGTTCACATTCGTCAAGTTGGAACCGTCACTCGTCATCCCTCACTGTCTTAGGCTCGAACAAGACTCTGATACCACTTATCACGGACCGTCTGGTTCCTCGAACACCTTCCGTGCGGCCTAGCAACTTTCGGACACTTAGAGGTTGCTAGTACAACCTTTCCTCGAACACCTTCAAGAACACTCAAGAACACGATTAAGAACACTCAAGAATCATATAGAGAGAAAATAGTGAGGGAAAGTATTTGTTATTGCTCTCAACTTGATGATTTACAAATGAGCATTATCACCTATTTATACAAGTCCATTTTGAAATGGACGGTCAAGATCGAATCAATCCAATGGCTAAGATCATCTCCCAACCACCATCTACCTATCATCTATCAACCATTTACCAACCCTCACCTACCATCTTCCACCAACCATCTACCAACTCCCAACTACCATCTTCTACCAACCCCCACCTACCATCTTCCACCAACCATCTACCAACACCCAACTACCATCTTCTACCAACCATCTACCAACCTTCAACTACTCCATACAAGTTCTAGTTTTATCCAAAAGGTTCCGAACTAGCCTCCGGGTTTTGGCTCCTTCTCGGTCACAGATTCGGTCCATGACATAAGGCACCAGCTCGCTTAGAGGTAGCCATATCTCTACCGAAACCTTTACTTGAGAATCTAACTCTAGCTTTTTAACACATCTACTCGATATGAAAGAAATGGATGCAACAAAAATCAAATAGAATAACCACGGGCAAAGAAATCACCAAAAACGTACCAATTAGGACGTCTCATCGGTTCTCCACAGCTTGACCTCTCGTCATGACATTGATGTGACCCTCTAGCCATTTCTTCATTATCTCACACGCTGAGGTGCCATAAAGCGACATACGACCCTACTACTGCAGAGCCAGAGCCTTCTCAATCGCATGCGGAGTACCAACTAACTTAGGACAAAACCTCTTGACATGTCTCGACTCATGGCAATAGTAACAAACGAGGGACTGGCCATCACAACAAACTCCCGAATGAAACTTCCCACATAGGCTACAACCAGTCGGGCCATCAAAAGCGTAAGCCGAAATTAATTATAAAGGTCTTAATACTTAAAACATTAGTAATTGATTTCAAAAGCATCCTAAGGGATGAGATAATCTAGTTTTCCCTTATTGAGATATTTTAGATATTCGATTTTAGATTGAGTAGATTTATATTTAAATTTGGTCTTATCCATATATTAAATTACTTAGATTTGAGTCTATCGAATCCATTTTGTATTGTCTATATATAGGTCCCCTTACTTTGATGATCAATAAGTCAATTTTATTATTTTCCTCCAAAAATTCTAACATGGTATCAAAGCCTATTTTTTCATATCGTAGATATAGCCTACCAACTCGCGTTTCTCCAAGTACATTCAACTTGGATTGTACCCGAAGGTCTTATGATTTTGAGATCATGCATTTGCAAGTCTGTTTTTTTGCAAATCTGTCTCTTATATTTGTCTGCTATTTGTCATCTATCTGATGTCTGCGTGCAATCTGAAATTTTTCTTCTATCTGCGATCTGTCATATATACGTTGCTTGTCTGTTGCCTGAAATCTGTCTACGATCTGTCATTTGTCCGCTGCTTGTCTGTTGGCTGCGTGCGATCTATTTGATGTTTGCAAGTTTGTTTTATTGCAAATCTGTCTTTTATATTTGTCTGCTATCTACCATCTATCTGATGTCTGCGTGCAATCTGAAATTTTTCTGCGATTTGCGATCTGTCATCTGTATGTTGCTTGTTTGTTGCCTGAAATCTGTCTACGATCTGTCATTTGTCCGCTGCTTGTCTGTTGGCTGCGCGCGATCTATTTGATGTTTGCGATATATCTGTTTTTGGCTCCGGTGGAGAGTCAAATGTTTTCAACTCCAGTGGAGAGTCATATTATTTTCGGCTCCGGTGGAGAACAATTGTTTTCGGCTCCGGTTCAGAGTCAACTGTTTTCGGCTTCGGTGGATAGTCATATCATTTATGGCTCCGGTGGAAAGTCATGTCATTTTCAGCTCCGGTAGAGAGTCATGTTATTTTCAGCTCCAGTAGGGAGTCATGTTATTTTTTGCTCCAGATGAGAGTCAACTGTTTTCGACTCCGGTGGAGAGTCATGTCATTTTCAGCTCCGGTGGAAAGTCAACTGTTTTCGACTCCGGTGGAAAATCATGTCGTTTTTTGCTCCGGTGGATAGTCAACTGTTTTCGGCTCCGGTAGAAAGTCAACTATTTTCGATTCCGATGGAGAGTCAATTGTTATTTTTATTTGCTTGTCTATATTCAACTTTCTTGTCAAACTCAAATTGGTTTATGTTATACCACTTGAGTTTGAGGGGGAATGTTGAGATATTTTAGATATTCAATTTTATATTTAGTAGATTTATATTTAAATTTAGTTTTATTCATAGATTAAATTACTTAGATTTGAGTCTATCGAGTCTGTTTTGTATTGTCAATATATAGACCCCTTTATTTTGATAATCAATAATACCATTCCATTATTTTCCCCGAAACGGGCTAACAGACAGATCTCAGAAAAATGTCATATTGCACACATGCATCGGACAGATGGCAGATGGCAAATAGCATATAGAATTGCAAAACGACAGACTTGCAAATGCATGATTTCAAAATCATAAGGCCTTCAGGTACAATCCAGGTTAATGTACCCGGAGAAACAATAGTTGGTAGGCTATATCTACGACATGAGAAAAATGGACTCTGATACCATGTTAGATATGTTGGGGGAAAATAATGAGATTGTATTATTTATTTATCGCGTCCGTTTTGTATTGCTTATGTATAGGCCCCTTTATTTTGATGATCAATAATACAATTTTATTATTTTCTCCCAAAATTTATGACACCCCCCCCCCCCAATGAATCAATTAGGCTTAGTGGAAGCACCATCAATTAGGCTTAACGGAAGCACTATCACCTACAAAAATTTTGTAGAAAGAGTATCAGCACAACGGTTGAGTAAGCACAATTAATTAAAAATAAATTGCTACGATATATGCCATGATTTACCTGTAAATACTACAAAATCATTTGAAAAACATAATTTGAATGAAATGTCACATATGCGTCTCCTTTATATATCCTTTTTAATTCTCAAATAATGGTTGATGATGAACACATCACGAAGAAAACTCCACTAGGCTTCAATTAGGGCCGGCTTGACCCGGTTTTTCAACCCTATTATTTCGCATGACACGTCACATAATAAACATAGGATCACAACCCTCAAGAAAAGCTCCACAATAGGTACATAAGGGTTTGAAACCCAAAGTACACGTAAGTCAATTTATTTATTAATTTGCGATGGGCGTTAAATAGTCAAACCCTCTAGTCTCCAATATAACATACCAAGAGGGGATTGTACACAATTCATCACGGATGACGGTCTAAAGACCATTCCATCGTGAATGACAGACACATAGGATTCACCCGAAAAAGAATCCGCCATCTCGATCCCTCGGCCTAATCCATTCAAATTCTAGTTTGAGGTTAACTAGTCATCCTAAAATACCGATATACCCTTACGTGTTTAGAAAGCACATAGGTGAAAGGCTATCTCTTGCATCCCAAACAATCGATGAGTTGATTGAACTCGACGGATAGTTTCAATTATCAATTTGACCCCATACTCATGTTTTAAGGCAAATCTTAAAAGAGCTTTCAACTCAAAATATTTCAATTGCTAACTTTTAACCAACTAATCGATAAAAACATCATTCAAATAAATATGCTTTGTAATATAAACGAAAGTTAAATGAGCTTTCAAATTTGCTCGTAAAACACTATTTTCGTCCAACAACAATCTCATTTAATAACCAAGCAAAAAGTAGTTTATTAAAAATCACAATGGTTTAATAATCTCACTTTATTTTGCCAAATAAATATTTGGATAATATGTCCATTCAGATAGACATAACCTAACTCCCAAAATCAAAATATTTAAAATAATCACGTATCTTTTACCCAAAATTGATAAACTAGGTTGGGGAAAATTTAGGGTTGCAAACCCATTTCACAAATTCTACAATTTTCAACTTAAAATACCATAACCCTGGAGAACATTATAAAGGAATTAACAAAACCTAACACTTGTATAAAAAATCCATTTAAAAATAATTTGAAAAATATCACAAAGAATCAACAAATGGGTTTAGAAATTATAAAATATTATTTATCTAATATTAATCATACTTACTTTAAAAAGAAAGCCAAATGGGGAGCTTTAGCGGAAGAACTTTTCAAGGAAGAAGAACCAAGCGGCAGCTGAACTGGAGAGAAACAGAGAAACACGCTGTTGGTGCCTGTTCGTGCTCTACTTACTCTATTATCTCTATTTTTAAAACAATAGACATGGGTTTATACCTTTTCTTCTATTCCTTTTGGGTCGAAGTTTTTGCCCAAACAACCGGAGACTTTTAATTTAATTCAGTTACATCATTTCTTACACCAAAAACTCAAATAAGAACAAAGGAAATAGCACAGAGAAAGAAGGAAAGAGAGAGGAATGGAACCATACGATATGATATGCCATAGTCCATAGATCCATCTGGGCAATGCTCTGGAAACTCCAAATACAAAAGTTGATCTATCAACTAAACAAAATATGAAAAGCTAATAATCACAAACAAGCGCAAACACATACACACTACAGTTTTATTGACTTCAATAAAAGTGAGGTTTGATTTACACCCACAAAAGTCTTTAGAGACTGATCTGATCAACCCTCCCCATGGTATCAAACACAATAATTGATAATTATCGATTACAATGCACAATTATATATTGATGGAGAATGATGCATACATATATATATATGTATATGTACATACACAAATGCCAAAGCCGTGAACTTCAATATGCTTCTTGCCACACTTTTATTTAATTAATATTAAAAGACAAAGAACAACTACCTACCTACATACATGTCTCTGTCTGTGTCTTAAAAATAACTCAAAACATGTTGGAGCAATAAATATTAATTTCTAGTCAGAGGGGATTAGATTGTTGCATTGTTGAGGGAAGACTTACTATAAAAGCATGACAATGGAGAATGTTATTGACAGCAAGACAGGCAAAACTATAGTCTAGAGATATTGGTGCTGAGCAAGCACACGATCTTTATTCTCAAAATCACCAAATCAATTTGCAATACACAGAATATAGATGTTAATGATATATATACATTAATAGATATATTTTCGAATTATCTTTGTAATAGGAAAAAAAGTATGTAAATGGTGTGAGGCAGAAGGATCGACAATGTCAGTACAATACCTAAGGGAGAAGCATAACTATACCTGAAGGATAACCGATGAAGTGATAAAGTCAAATGTCCACTCAGCCACACGAGGGGGTCATATAATTGGTACTTTTTTTTTTATCGGAGTCATATAATTGGTACTTACTTGAATGCAGTGTTGTTTTGGTCTGTATGCAACAAAATAAATTTCAGATAGAAAATATATGAGAAAAGCTAACATCAACATATATTAAATTCATGTAACATTATTGTAGGATATTATATAGAAGAAAAGAAAGCAAATGAGATAGCCAAGATTCAAACACCTTTATCAGCAAGCATTGTAATAATTCAAAACAACATATTGATGGTAGTAGAATGAATCGAGCGGAGGTTGCACTCAAGATTCTTCAATTTATGACACATTTGGGAAGAATGACTTCAGGAAAACAACAAATTCAAGCATTTATCTCATTCATTCCAAACATTTATTTTAGATTTCCCAAATACAAAAGTTGGATAACCGCAAGCAATGAAGAGAAATGAAAAATCGCAATTAGAAACGTTTCATTACATTAGAAGTCAAACTGCAGAATAACCAAGTTTAATATCTACCACAATTAAAAATAAATAGATAAAATAGGAAAAGAAAGTCATCATCAGTTTACCATATGCTCTTTGCATTTCGAAAAAGTGACGGTCATTGTAAGTTATAGTCCAAAAAATATTCCTGCACAATGTTGGCAAAACTTTAATGATTAATCCAATACAGAAAAACATAAATTGACCTTGAAATCTTAAGCTCAGTGGAGTGTACATAGCAATCAGATTTCCCACTTAAAGTGTCCCAAAGAATGACAGTCAAATATTAATTGTAAAAGTAGAAATACCTTTGTGATTTTGAAGTTGGAAGCACAGTTTTGAAGTTTGTCGTCTATTCAACCCACTGTTCAATAACCAAGGAACCAAATTTAGACTCCAGATGACAAAAAAGAAGCAAACAATATGATATAAATTGCTAAGAAGGAATCCAGACTTCCAACCTAAAATCAAGTGGTAGTAGGTGGAGTGGCACAGCCACCCTTATAAGCCCAGGGAGTTTCCACATCATATCCAATGTGGGATAATATTCAACATTCCTTCTCGAGATAATCTCGAAAATTCATACAAGATCAATAACCAATACAGGCACCAATGGCTCTGACCATGTTAAGAAGGGATCCAGATTTTCAACCTAAAATCAATTGGTATTAGGCCCTTCACCCTTATAAGCCAAGGGAGTTCCCACATCATATCCAATGTGGGACGTTATTCAACATAAATAAACAAAACTTAATGAAAGCAACCTCACCAGCAAAGAAGCTATCAAAGTCGTTTCATATTTATTCAGAAATCACAGGGCGTAATATCCTTTTGTGTTAGGCTCCACCAGTTGCCCAGATCATTGAATCTGTAAGCATCTTCGGCAGATGCAAGGAAACCATGATACTAATTTATTTCAAAACATGCAGTTGAATTCTGAACCTGATGGCCGAAAATTGGAAATTGTTACAATTAGAAAGGACCATTAATTTGGATAAGCAAATGTACCCAACAATACACAACATTAGATAAGTAAAAGAAGTGAAATGTTTGCATACCTGACTCTAACTTATACCAAAAGTGGTCAAACTTTACTGAATAGACAATGACATGGAAGAACTGCTTATCTGCAGTGTGAGAGATGGTCTTATAAGTCTTAGAGATTCCTCAGTAATCTCTCATTAAATTCAGGCGCACACAGCTATGTGAGAATGTGAATATATTCAACCAAAACAATAACGTGAAGAAAAGGCATAAGCATTGGCATCATTTTCTCATATATCCATGATTCTTAAGTGCCCTAAACAAGAAGATGTGCAATCATTGTCAGTAACGATCCCGAAATTCTCATTTCAATCTTCACCTAGTAATGCATATTTTAAATCTGGTACATAGCCCAAATCCTTCATTCTTCCCCTCAGCTCTTCTAATTTGGAATAGATGTCTTCCTTCTGCGGGTGTCCCATATCTCCTGCATAAAATTTATGGATTCTACCTTCCACAGATATCCAACTGTATCCTGGTTCCTTTTTAACACCTTTCTCTTTCATCACTTTCCTCATATCAACCCCATCTTTAAAACTCCCAGTTTCTATGTAAGTGTTAGATAAAAGAACATAGGTAGAAGAATATTCTGGACGAAGTGTTAGAATTTTCTTGGCCGCGATTTCACCAAATTCAACATTGCCATGTATCCTGCATGCAGCCAATAAGCTCTGCCATACCATCTCATCTGGTTCAGAAGGTATTTTCATTATAAATTCAAAAGCTTCAGCAAGCCGACCCACACGACCAAGAAGATCAACAACACAAGCATAGTGCTCCATTTTGGGCACAATTCCATAGTCTTTCTCCATTGACCAAAAGAATTGAAGACCCTCTTCAATAAGACCAGAATGGCTACATGCAAAAAGAACACATAGAAATGTGACAGCAGTTGGTTTAGTACCCAGTTGTTTCATTCTATTGAAGTGACGAACTGCAAGGGACGCCAAACCATGGCTGGCATAGCCTGATAACATCGCAGTGAATGAGACAACATCAGGATCAATGATCCGATTGAACACCTTTTCTGACTCTTTTATACTTCCGCCCTTAGCATACATATCAATTAGAGCACTCTCTACATATCTCACAGATTCAAAGCCTAATTTGCACGAAAGACCATGGACTTGAAGACCATACTCAAGATAACATAGATTGGCACATGCAGTAAGTACACTGGCAAGAGTAACACTATTTGGTGTGAACCCTTCCTCCATCATCTGAGAGAATGTAATCAGTGCTTCCTCCCATTTAGAGCACTGAGAATAACCTGTAATCAATGTTGTCCAGGATACAATGTCTCTTGTTTCCATCTTGTTAAAGATCTTCTTTGCTCCTTCAACAGACCCACATTTCAAATACGCATCTGCTATTGAATTTTCGATACTAAGATTCATAAAATCATGGCCAGACTTCAAAACCATGCCATGTACTTCTTTCACCAACCTTGAGCACTTCAAATTAGCAATTGCATCAAACAAACTACAGTAAGTGTACAGGTCAGATTTTATGCCCTTTAGGCACATTTCAATATATAATAGCAAAGCTTGTTGACTGCATTTATGCAGTGAATAAGCACTTATCATCGCATTCCAAGGTCCATTAACTCCACTATCAGCAAAGTTCATGTCAAACACAGACATTGCCTCCTGCAAGTCACCACATTTCGAATACATATCAATTAGAGCAGTTCCAACAAAATAGTCATTCTGCATACCCAATTCAGATACACATTTATGAACTTGCCTTCCCTTGTCAATGTTACCAAGCATCCCAACAGCCTTCAGAACACCAACCAGAGTGTACCGGTTAGGGATAAACCCTTGAGATCTCATCTTCAAAAAATGGTCAAAAGCCTCCATGTGCAGGCCGTTAGCAGTAAGTCCTGATATAATTGCATTCCAAGAGACATCATTATGTTCATCCATATAACTAAACACTATGTAGGCTTCATCAGCCTTACCCAACTTTGCATACATGTTGAGCAGTGCAGTACCAACAACAACATGAGACCCAAAGCCTCTAACAATGATCTGACCATGCAATGCATATCCTATATCCATACAATCCATACCGATACACGATTGCAAGACAGCAGAATACATGAATCCATCAGGCCACATTCCATCATCCATCATCTGACAATAATGATATAACCCATTCTGGAAAAGTGCTTGCTCATTAAATCCTCCAATCATGACACTCCATGAGAACACATTTCTCCTAGGCATATAGTCGAACAGTAACTTTGCAGACTTAAAATCTGAGCTATTCAGATAAGCATACATTACATGATTAAGTAACATCAGCATGTTCTCATCATCAAAATCTGACTTCACAACATAACCATGAATTATCCTTACTTCTGTCTGAAGCCCCTCTGCAGCACACCAATGGAGGTGATTAACCAGCTGACGCACTTTAGACTTCTGCAAGAACTTGGAATCAGAACTCAACTCTAACAATTTGCCTCCGTACTCCTTATTGCTTTTATGGGTGTACTGGGGGATAATCTTTGCCTCTGGTCTTTTGTACTGAAAAAACTTGAGAATATTCATTGATTTGGTTGTTTGTATCAAACATCAAATTTTAAAGATCAACATAATAGGGGAAGTGCATATGCAACAAAAGAATCCTATAAAGTACACTACAGCACTTCACATGAATGAAGAAAATAACAATGATGAAATTTTAGTTAACCTCTCTTCTGCTCAAGAAGTTGCAGTTGAATAGCTCAAAATCATGAGTAGATCCAAATATCGAAAATCTGGCATGAAAACCTATTGCCATTACCTGCACAGCAGAATAAGATACAGCATTATCACACCAAACACCTTATTAAACCATTCCCTAAGCACATTGTACCTCATTTGACAAACTTTAACATTAGATCACACCAGAATTATGGAGCATAGTAAATATTCAAGGCAGTATCCAGAAACTAAGCCCATATGGAGGCATTCCCTGTTAAGAGAGATGATGCCGAAAAAAAAATGTATAGATGATTCCGAGCCTCAGACTTCTCAAATATGTTTGCAAGGATTATGGCACATAGCCTTGTCTGGACAGATATATATGGAATACAAAATTAATCAAATAAATAACATATGCTTGCAATATCTCTTACTTTTCTTGTAGGATTAACCATAAATCAATCAAATAAATAAACTAAAGCTACAAATCCTATGCACCAACTCAGGCCCATAAAAGTAATGCTCATGAATCTTGCCATAAGACTTAAAGCCAGTTTTCTCACATCAAATGAATGATTCAATCGATTGTCTTCCAGTCTTACTCAAATTACAATTGGAACTTTTAGAAATAGTGGGTTTTCTTACTGTATACTGGATTGTTATGGGTTGCCTCGCAGTTTTTTTGCATATGCAGTCAAAGCCTCATGAACGACAGCGCCAGCAGTTACGCATCTCGGTCAGCCGCAACCAAGACGGTCTGTCTATTTTCCCCTTCGTCTTCTGATCTTATCTTAGAAATGGACTTTAGTTCTAGAGTCGGCCAATCGGTTTCGAACCGGTGGTTCCGGTTTCAACCGGTTCAATTTCAGTTCCAGTTTGTTTGGAACATAAATCGTCGGCTCGAACCGGCCTGTTTTCCGTTGAACCGGCGGTGCAAACCGTGGAGCGAAGTAGAAGTAATTTTATGGGATGTTTAGTACAGAGAAATTGGGAAGAAAAATTGAAATATTCTTCGTTTCCCTTATTTTGTTGCGACAAAAAATTTGAAAGTTAAAAAATTAATTATTTTTTATTCTCTAATTTTATTTTCCTCCTGTATGCAGAAAAATTGAGAGAAATAAAATAGGGAGAGTCACAGTTGTTTATTTATCTTATTTTTTTATATTTAACTTTTACAATTTAATTTGTATTTATTTGTTATTTTTTCTTTTTTACTATTATTTATTATTTTATAATTTTTATATTATACAAACTTGATGAAATATCATATTTAAATTATTGTTAAAATAACTTATCAAACAAAAAGATAAATAAAAAATACAATATATGTTTTTTTTATCTAATTTATTAATTAGTGACCGGATTATTTTTTTTTTCAATTAGTAATATAGTATATTATCTCTATGCGTTAGCATTTTTGTATATTTTTCAATCTAAATTTTTTGTTTCACCAAACAAAAAAATCAATTCTAATTCTCTATTCAATTTTTTTTTAATATATTATTTTATTCTCTACTTTTATTTTTCAAACTGAATTCTAAAAAAAAAAAAAATCAATTCTCATTTTCTATTCAATTCTTTTTATCTATTATTTCATTATCTACTATCATTCATTTATAGTGCAAATATGGCTAAGATAGGTGTGATTGATGATATATCTTTATTAGTGTATTATTATAATAGACTTTAATCGATTTTAAATTTTAGTAAATTAAAATAAACATATGATTAAATAAAATAATATAATATAATACACTTTAATGAAAGTAACCGTTATATATAAAGAACTACTTGAACCCTTGTTATTGACAGAACTCCTTTATAGAGCGATAAATAATAGTATTTTTTTATTCATCAAATTAAATTTATGTTATTATTTTTTTATTTATTAAAATTTTTATATAATTTATTTATAATAAATAATTTGAGATTGTTCACTTAGTATTTTTTAATAGTACAACCCCTATTAATATTATTAAAAAATATATTATACACATATTAATACAATACACTACATAATATATATATATATTATTCATTAATAAAAATTAAATAATTCAATACAAAATATTAATTTTTATATTATTAACACAATTATTCATATATAACATAAAAATATATCCATCCAAAAAATACACAATAAATAATATATTTGTCACTAACTTTTCTATTTATTTTATTATTTTTTAGCACTTATTTAATTAATTTTTACTATTTATCATATTATTTTTCTTAATAATTTATTATACATTTTTACTAACTAATAAAATATAATTATTATTTAATCAACTAAAAAAAATAAAGAGATCATTTTCAATATTCAGAGATATACAAATTATATTACAGCAATGGTTAAAGTCAATTTTGATAATAATAATGATTATTATTTAGTGTGGGTACCACATCCAAAATTTATTATTAAGTATGTCATTTCCATTTTATTTGAGGTATAAAATTAGTAATTCAAAACATAATTAATAAATATAAATAATTCGGTGGGTTTTAGTTTTTGAATTTGGATTTTTGAATAGTAAAAAGTTGAATTTGAATAGTTGTTTGATGTGATATAAATAGAGATTGATGTAATATTTTGAATGTAATATATATATATAATATTATATAAGAAAAGAAAATAATTGGTTGATGTGATAGTTTTTTAGAGGAAAAAAAAAACACACACACACAATCTTAGTGTTTTTTTATTTAGCTTCCAAATCACATATTTCTACTATTTGAACTCTGCCTTTTTCGAAAAATTATTTTCTCTCGTAAAATATTTCATCATACATGGGTGTGTTTCTTTGGAGATTCTTTCCAAAATCTACTATTCATAAAAAAAGATATTTTCTTCAAAAAAATCAAATCAAACCTCTATTTTTTTATTTTTTATATTATGCTAAAATTTAATTTTGCATTTAAAACATCAAATCAACATTTATTTATATTATATCATATAACTATTTCAATTCAAAAACTTTATTATTCAAATCTCAACCCAAAATTCAAACTCCCAAACAAACGCTTTTAATACCAAACTCAAATCAATTTTTTCTAAATCCATCAAAAGAAGCAAACCCTATTAACTTTTTAACAAATTCTCCATCCATCCTATGAAATTGGTCTTCTTTCTTTTGCATTCGAAATTTCAAGAATATTATATTAAATGGTTAATTAGTTTGATTAATTTATATAATATTTATAATGCATTATTATTTGAATTATTTTTATCTAGTGATATATTAAAATAAAAATAAAAATAAATTTACTGTTTTTATGTTGAATATTTTATATTTTAAAATTAATTTTTTGTTTTAAACGATGGTATCATCGGTATGTAAAAAACATAAATAATTTTGTTAATTTAAATGTAATTAAACAATCAAATATAATGTGACTATAAAATTTTTAATCTTAATAATAGTTTACATATATAAAATTATTATAAAAGTAATCGAAAAAATAAAAGTTAAAACGGAATTTAGTTACTGGTAGTGATAAATATGATGGATGAGTTATGAAATTGTTTATTCTCACAAAATTTTAATCATAGTTGTTAATAATATTCTCTCTATCTATCAAATTTAATCTCATTTTTTTGTAAATATGCAAACAAAGTTGGTCAAATTTACCGGATGATGTAGTAATATACTTCCTCCGTCCACTTAGAAAGTTGACATTTACTTTTATCGCGGTATTTAAGAAATAATAGTATTTTAATTATAGTGAGTAGTTAAAAGTTGTGTAATGACATTTTTGCCCTTACTTTTTTTTTTTGTAAAAGTAATGATGTGATGTAAAGTAAGGGTATTTGTGGAAAAAAGTAGAGTATTTAATGAAATGTTAACTTTGTAATTGGACGTTCCAAAATAGAAATATGTAAACATTGTAAGTGGACAGAGGGAGTATTATTTTATCTTACAAAATAGTACAATTAAATATTTTAATAATATTTTTAAAATTTTCAATAACAAATAATAATAAAAAAATTCTAAACACAAAAACGCATGCAAACTTTTGTTTTTTTTATTTTTGAAAAAAATACTGTAAAATATAAATTCTAATACAAACTATTATTCAAACACCCTAATAAAAAATATTTGATATATTTTATGATTAATATTATTAAAATATATATATATCCAATATATACACATCAACATAATCTATATATTCTACAAGCTTATCAATATTTAACAATTTAACAAAAACTTATTTTTTACATTGTGAACACACTTCTAATAACTAATATAAAATATATATATATCTCTCAAATTAAAAATACAAATAAATATTTTTTTTGTCCCGCCTTAATGTATCCATCTTTTCATTTTCATCTATCCCGGTTAATGTATACATTTCTTTTTTAATAACTATGAATCTTAAATTTGTTTCAAATACCTATTTACTATCATATCGTTACTTTTACACACAAAAAAACAAAGATAATTATCTTTACACTATTTTTAGCTAGTTACTACAATTAAAATTTATTATTATATTATTTTTAAAATTTCACATCAAAAGTATACACACTATATATATCATATCAATACTTATTTATATTACGTTAAAATATAAAATTTTATTAGTTATATATATATATATATATTTATATTTTGCATAAAGAATAACGTTGCATTATTGAGAATTTTTCTTATAATTTGAGAGATATGTGATCCTTATTGAAGTATACGTATAGTTGCATCCGAATACGATAGAAATTCAAAAATCTCGACTTTAATATCGAAGTAAAAGTTTCTTCTAGTACAACTACAAGTCTAGCGAGGGTCAAGTGCAACATGATTCCTATTTAGATACAACTTGAGTTTGTGTAGGTACAATTATCTTCAAAATTTACTGTTTCTCACAAAAATAGAGTGTGTTTTCACGACCTCGCGAAAACATAGGCTCCGTTTACCCAACATTTTTAGATAAAATGATTTTTGGTATGCGGTATGTGAAATTGTGTCAAAAATATAAAATATATTAGTTTAGGTTGAATATTTGACTTTTTGTAATGATTTTTTTGACTTTTTAAAATGAATATTTGAAGTTCTTTTGACTTTGACTTTTGTATAAAATATTTTGTATTTATTATTATTATTTTTCGGGAATCACAATGAAAAATAATGTTGGAAGAACAGAGCGATAGTATATTTCTGCAAGAATACTCATCTCATGTAAAATATATATATATATATATACCTATTTTCAGTGGAAGTCTAGGATGTTTCTGCGGAAAATAGGTATTTTTAATACATAAGGTAATAATTTTGGATTATACACTTTATTCGTTCTTTTATTGGAATTAAGATGATTTTTTATTGTAAAATTACATTGCTATATTACGATAAAAAAAAATATCAACAATGTATTAGAACATATTAATCTTAAAAATCTTATAAACAATAAATAAAATAATATAAAACTTACCAATAATTTATAATTCCAAGTGTAAAGGATATCCGATTGATGAGGGAAAAAGCCAAACTACGAATTTCTAGCTGAAACTTTATACAAATCGGCGACCAAGCACGTGTGATTATGCTCGATAAGAACGGTGGAACAATTTTTTTTTTCTATATTTGATTAAATTTTGGATTCTAAAAGCATATAAGTCTTTTAACATAATAGGAGTATTTAAATATTTTTAATAATAATATTAAGAGTTGAAAGGAATACATAATTTATGATGAAAATTTAATAGGAAGAAAAATAATAGCTAAGAATTATAAGGAAATTGATTTAGTCAAAATGATTTATAT